TTCTTTCTGCTTTGTTCGCTGAGGAATTTAGAAAAAGAAACTTTTTGATAGCAGAATCAATAACACTCATTGGATAGTCAAGGCGACTAAATATAGAGCGCAACTTGGCACATTCTGCATTGAAAGCCTCTGTTGTAGACGACAAGGAATAGGCACGATGTATCATTGTCTGTAATAAAGAGTCTTTATAGCGTTTATCCGTGTGACTTTGGAAATGTAGGAGCAATCCGGTGTTTGTTGGTTTTCTGTAAACTTGAGTTTCAAGTTTAGTTCCGTTCTTGACGATTTCAATGCCAATAAAAGGGATCTTGTTATCCACAGGAAGCTCCATCGTAAATGTTAGACTGGGGTGTAGGCCATTCAGGGTACTAAGAAACTCAGCAGCAACATCAACGCTAGGCATTCTAGCCAGAGTATCATCGACGTACCTCTTGTACAACTGGGGCATCAAGCCCTCGCGTGTAAGCTTGATTAAAAGAGAAATTCTTACCAGTCTCGAAGTCTTGTACACGAAGTTTTGCAGGCGCACGCGTAATGCACCAGTCAATAGAGAGATTAGATTCACGTTTACGCCAAACTTGTACCACGTGACCAAGTTTCCCCCTTATTTTCCGTTTACTCTTTATTGCTTCTATAAGTAGTTTCATGCTAGTTTTAACCACAGGAATCGTTCGGAACTGTTTTATCTGCTTATTTTCTATTCTGAGAAATTCTCAACTTGAGTCTGACGTTTAGCTAAACGCTGCTGGGCTCCTGTTAAACGTGAATCTTAATCTCTCTGATATAAATCCCCGCTCCCCAACCCTTGGACTATGCGGAGATTAGCCGGAGATTAGGCACAAATATTGTGCCGCGGTAGGCGGGGCATTAGCCTTATTTCGAATCTTGTGGTACTTTGGGCGGGGATTTGGCCGGGATTAGATTTGAACTGCGGTGAAGGGGGAATTTATGGTAGGTGTTTCATTTATTGGTAAAAAAAAAAATACCTTTTTCATTCCTCGTGGAGGACTTTAATGCGTATCGCCTTTGTACTTTTTGGTCTTTGGTCCGGAAGTTGAAAAAATAATGTTTTAAGGAGTGAAATGTCCATTTTATGTGGATGAATTCGCCTCGGTTCAATGTTCGTTCGACGTCTAGCAGTGCTACATATTCAGGGATTAGGAGGATAAGCGTTTTAGATTGGATGAAAAAAACAAAAACAAAAACCAAAAAGAAGAACAAAGTAAGCAATGAAAACTAATACCAAATATTTATTTAACAACAGTTGCACTATTCACTTTTCGAAATTGTAATAAGGATCTGTGGGGCCAAAAGTTAACACCACCAGCAATGGACTTCATTCTATCTCTTATCATGGTGGCAAGCTATTGAATTCCCTTCCTAAGAATAAAATAGTTTTGGTCTAGAATAGGGTATCGTTTTGCAGAAAACTACTGATCAACTGGTTGAAGATTTTAGTCCAGACTAGGAAAACCGGGAATTGACGACTCAAAAAAAGTGAAATTGGCAAATCTTAATTCATCCGCAACTCAGGTTAATAGCAAAGAAGGCGTCGTCCTCAGTAATTCTGGAAAATAGCGACTCTAGGAGAAATTTGGGAGTTTTGTCTAGTTTGGGCCAACAAAATTCAGCCGAACAAGGTCTGGTTTAGGTCTGGCAAGGGTTGCGGGGTCCCAAGACCACATCCCTACACAAAGATTCTGAAGTACCTCCCCCCCCCGGGGCTCGGGGTCATTGAATGTGATTTCGTTAGAATGTGATTGGAGGAGTCACAGTACCGCAAACGTGGCGCGAACACTTTCCAGAAAATGGGAGCTGAATTATAATTGGCTAATCACGGGAAAGGAATGTAGTTCGGTTTTCAGCAGCCGTTAGTGGGGAGGAGCGTTGCGTGACGACACTAAAAACGGCTGTGTAGCAGACTATCGTAATGGCGGTTCACGAATAAACCCATGGTGTTCTGTTCTACTCTTGTCGCGTTCCTCGTTCTCCACTCTAACAAATCAACAGGTAACCGTAGTGCCACAGAGTAAATCTACCGAGTTGTGTAGCCACAAAGTAAATTTACCGGCGAGTTGTGAAGCTCAGCGCCTGTTGCGCCACAAAGTAAATCTACTCAGTTGTGTAACTACTAAGGCGGCCGTAGTGCTCCAGAGTAAATCTACCGAGTTGCGTAGTTCGGCGGTCGTTATTCCACAAAGTAAATCTACCGAGATGTGAAGCTCAGCGGCGGTCGCCGTTATTCTACAAAGTAAATCTACTGAGATGTGAAGCTCGGCGGCACCATTTCACGTAATTTCATCATGACGTGTGATGTTTTCGGCAATGATACACAGTTTAAAACGAGGTTTCGCTGTACGCAACCCTTACGTTCAAAATATGCCATAATCATAGTTATCTATCGCAAGAACCATCCACCCTTTCCCCTCCACTGCTACCTGTACGCCTAGCAAACATATCGAATGCACTCTCTTAAGCTCCGATTACTCCTAGTATTAAAAGTAATAAACTTCAGCTTCCTCCAACCATGGATAATAGAAAGACGGGTACCCTCGCATGCTTACAGAAGATGTTATTAAGAAATTTCTCAAGTTTGAATGCAACGACTTACCTGATCATTCAAGAATTCGGTCAACAAGCATTCTCCGGATATTAAACAAGGGTCCAGCAAAAAAGCCTCGTTTAAATTAAGCTACCTTCCACAACGAAAATGATGAGCAGGCGAGTTCCTTCATACTGCTCAAATATCTTGCCAAATATGGCAGAGGCGTCGCCCGGATGTCCGTTTGACCTTGACGTAATGCTAGCAACTGAGAAGGAGACTAATATAATGACGGATGATTTTAAGAGAACGTCTGATAGGCTAAAAAAGCCGAGGTATGAAACGATGTTGCTGTCATCATAACTTGATCAATGACAGGCCGGGCCCCCCGATCCGTAGAATGTCTAGGTTCCCGCGCTGGCGTTTTTAGGGGAGCTCGTTTTTCATCCCTTGTGGGGAGGGATGAAAGACGAACTCCCCTAAAAACGCCTGCGTGGGAGGCTATAGAATGTCACGCGAGCACTTGTTTTTCCAGGGAATCACGCACTGTGTGGACAAGAGAATTCACCACAGGGATTACTACGGAGAAGCATTGCGTGTAACTGACTGTGACAAACGCGGGTTTCCCAACATATTCAGGGTTTAAAACAAAACTTGAACTTTCATTCTCATTCTCAGGGTTATGGGGAGCAAGGGGGGGGGGGGAAGGGGGGAGGAAGGTTATATTTAAGTTAAAAGAAAGCGATTACGGGTTTTTACAAGCTTTATAAAAAAAAGAGAGGGTTTGGAG